TAAATACCCAATTGGTGAATATCTGAAGTGTATATGTAGCTTAAGAACGGCGTTTGCTAACAAGTGGCTAAATGGGAACCAAACGTCAACACGCCGAACATTAGCCGCCGTTAGCTTAGCGGTGGTGACGTTCTGTAGCTTGTTTTAGCCTAACATTAGCTTTTTACTTCTGGCTTTTGACCCTTGAAATTAAATACAATAGGTGTTTATATATGGAGGGTGTCATCACGCCAAACATTAGCCGCAGTTAGCTTAGCGGTGGTTACGGGAAGTGATGTTACCCTGCTGTAGCTTGTTTTAGCCTAACATTAGCTTAGTACCTTTGAAATTAATAAAACACGTGTTATGGAGAGTACGAAACGTGTAGTGTCCACCGTTCTTATTTGCTGGGATATTCCAAAATCCAATGGAAGAATCCCATTGCTTTTTGTTAAGGGAGCCCTTGTAATGCTAATTTCCGTGTTAGCCGACAAGATAAGTCAACTGCACCACTCTATAGAGCAGAACTCGATTAGAAGTGGACTTCTTTTACTTTACCGTGAGCTTTCTTAACCTCGTTTACAACACAGCTGACTGCAGCCTCAAAGACCCATGACATGATAACCTAAGCTGTAACTAAAGGTAGTGTTTTACAGCGTAAGGGCACGCACACAGGTAAACACCAAACCTCATAAAGAAACCAAATATCAAGCAGGTCATCTTTCATTTCTCATGATTTGTTTTTCTCTCGAGGAGGAAAAAGGTGCTAGATAATACCATCTCGTACTCTGTACAAAGTGCAGTCTTGAATCTGGATTGCAAAAATGACTTATTCTTTTTTTAGGATTTATTGTTGTGTATGTCTGTCTTTTGTATTGTCTCAATGCTGAAAAAACAATATTATCAAACTTGCTTCTTGAAAATTAAATTGTATATTTTTAAGTAAAATGTAGATGTTTTTGTTTTCCAATGTCAAGGCTGCCAAACCAAATACTCACAGTAAGATGAAGGCCTTTTAAGTGTGTTGACTTTTTTTGTTGAGACAAAAACTGTCTGTATTGTTTGAAACCACTGTCAATCAGCCACCACCAAGGTTACATGTAAAACGGACTTAATAATAATAAACATTCCCATTTATTATCTCATACAAGCTTACACTGTCTGTACAATGCCATAATATCTCCATTTAGGATCTATGGTGCTAAATCTTTACAGTCAATGTTGCTGCACTGCCCCACAGCCTTTAATGTGTGTAATACATAACCATGTTTCTAACCTGGGAACCCTTTTCTATACTTTGTATCGTTAATGTCAGTTTGTAATTTTTCCTTTATTTGCCACTATGTTTTAAAAAAGGCGTTGTGTTGCGTGTGCTTCTCAGCTTCAGTGTGACTTGAAACAATACTGTCATCTCCATCTGTTTGCATTTAAAAATCTGTGTTTTATAGAAAATTAAGAAGACTGTTTCTGCTCGAATGTTCACCAAAAAGCTGAAATGACAATCATGCAGTCACATCACGCCTACCAACTGACAATCAATAAATCAATCATGGAACATTTTTTAATATCCTGAATTTGCAAAAACCAAAGATGTATAACACCAAATGGCAGTCTGTAAAATTAGAGTGATTCACATCATATTGTAAACTTTTGTCCAGTGACATTAACGGCAATAAAGTATTGTGGGTTATATTTTTAAGTGTTGTGTCCAGAGTTATTCTTTTTTTTTTCTTAGATGTTTCCATCCATCCATCGTCAAACCGCTGAACCGGAGTCAGGTTGCGGGGGAAAGCAGTCCCAGCAAAGGTTCCCAAACTTCCTTTTCCCTGGCATCATCCACCAGCTCTGACTGGGGGATTCAAATGCTAGCGTGGAGATATTTGGTGCATTCCAGTTGTACTGGGAAGTGGGAATATCTGAGTTCCTAGTCGTAAATTTCAACTGGAACGCCCCCTGAGGTCGGACTTCCTATTTGGAAACTCTGAGATTCTATGCCATACCCGAGATCATCATTCAAAATGGTTTCAAAGGGCCAGTTTTAGTGGGTTCAGGTAGAACTGTCCTTCTCATTCTCTGACATTTATGGGGTAAGAAGTTACATTAGGAAAGTGGACAACAGTAAAATTCCCCTCTCATCTGTTTGAAATTGCTAACGAGGTCAAGTTTTGGTAAAGGTAGTAATAGAGTGGCCATAGTGATAACGACAATATAGTGCAGGGTTCGTACGGGTGCTGGAAATCCTTGAAAATGCTTGAAATTTCATGTGGTGTTTTCAAGGTTTGAAAAGTGCTTGGATTTTGGATAAAGTGCTTGCATTTTGGTTAAAGTGCTTGAAATTGCACTTGTTTTACTTTTATAATAAATTGCTGTCTGACTGAATAGTTAGCTTTTTTCGATAAAAAAAAAAGAGAAAGAAGTCGGAGCGAGCTTAATTACTTTTCATAAAAAGACAGCTCCACTCCTTTTATACATATTTTGATATTTGAATCCTTCTTTTTTTCAGTTGCAGATTTTCCGTTTTCAGATTCCAAACAATTATTTTTTCAGTTTCAAATCTTGTTTTTTCAGGTTTCACCGTTTTTTTCGCTTTCAAACTTTTGGCCCTGATGTTGCTTGGGGGGGGCTTACCAAAGAGTAGTTTTGCATCCTGAGTGACAGCCCTCCCTCTGTCATGTTGCCTTCATGGATGTAAGGTAGCGCTAGAAATATAACTCAACACTTTCTATACACAATACTCCCGTGATTGTTGGGAAACCAAACTGATACCAGCGTCAAAGTTCCGTTAAGCGAGCTGTTGAGCATCGTAGTTCAGAATCAGATCAGAATCAGAAAACCTTTATAGAGAGGCGAAGTCCCTTTTAAAAGATAATTTTACAAGTCAAAAAAATAAAAATGTGTCGTAAAACTGTGAAGTAACACTTTTTTTGTGTGAAACCGCTCAATGAACTACATCTCCCGTCTCGCACCACACACCAAGACGGCCGTCACGTTGGCACATTTCACTTCTTTCTTTCAGAATGAGGCGAAAAGTATTAAAAGAGGTGAAAATCACTCCAAGTCTGGGCATATTGAGAGCTGTACATACACACAAGGGGAGTTAGTCGGTTCGTAAGAGCCAGCATGCGGGACCGGGATTCTGGGATTTGTAGTCTTTCTAGTTGCGTATTTTTCATAGTCTTATATTTCAACAGTTTTACGACAAACTGTGACTTTTTTGACATGGAAATTATTATTTAAGATTGACAAACATCACATGTGTAATTCGTGGCACATTTCAAACGGGATCGAAAGATAATCTTTCTCTCTCCATTGACTTCAATACAAACCGAAATAAGGTCCCATGAGTCCCACCGGAAGGGGAGGGACTTCGCCTCTCTATTAGTCCCACAGAGGGGACATGTACGTTGTTACAGCAGAAAAGAGCCACTGATAGCTTAATGTTACATATATTACATGCAAAAAAAAGTATTTGAAGTAAAAAAAAAGTTATATGATAAAAAAATATAATAAAATAAAAAGTTATACAATTTACAAAATACACATCCTGTAACAGTTCTGAGGATTTAGCAGCCAGGTATCTATTGCAGTTTTTAACGGCATATATATATATATACAGGGTTGGGTGAAGTGTTTTGCCCAAAATACCAAAAATACCTCATCTGCACTTTTCCCCATAAAAATGAATTTTAATCAATACTTTTAGATGTAAATGGTTTATTGTATCATTACTATGGGTCTCTGAAACAATCAGACTTTTACCACACTGTTATCAGACTTTTAGCACTCTGTTCCCCGCAGAGACGACTTTAAACCATCAGTGTCACTATTGTGGGGATGTAGGAATGCACCTGTGTCTGGTGCGGAGCCTCCCTGCACTTTAAATCAATTGATTTGCCTTTTTTTAATCGTATTTTCTACTGTTAATGCACTGTGCTCATGTTGGGTGATGCGCTCCCTGAAGCCCTCCTGTGGGGAATCTTGGAACTGCACTTAAATCACTTGGTGCTTTTTAAGCCATTTAAAATAGTTTTTCTCCCTTTTAAAATACTTTCTGCACTATAAATGATTTTTAATCAGTATTACCATGAACACACATTTGAGCATCCCTGCACACTTTCCTCCTATTTAAAACCCTTTTCAGTGAGGTGCTGCAGCCTGATTCTCTCCTGTTTCTCTGCCCATATTTAAAACACTTTTCCTCCTATTTAAAACACTTGCTAGAGGAGAAATCTCTATTTCAGCCCTGATTTTGGCACATCTTGTAAATTAGTTAAATTTAGCCTTGTGTTTTTATTTAAGTCGCTGTTCATTGTTTGTTATATAAAGCAGATTGAATTATATCCTATGGACGATGATGTGTGGATGTTGTGTCCTTTTGATAACTTTGTGGAGCTTGTTTTTAGCTGCATGTCTTTTTCTATCTCACTGAACAAAGTGATGTATGTGAACTGGTTCAGCTGATAAGGCTGGTTATGAATCAGAGGGAGGAGCTGCAGACAGGTGAAGGTGTGAAAGTCCAAGTATGATGTCAGACTGCCAGACGCCATTTTACAGCTCGTCAGGAGGAGAACAACAGGTGAGTGTTAACACCAGGATCTGCTTTTTAATAACACATTCATTATTTACTCTGTCAAACTGGATGTCAGAAAATAACTTAGTTAAATCTGCGTCCTAGAGTCCAATGAGACTTCTGCAAGTGTTGTACACTTTTATTATTTCCTGTTTTCTGATTAGTCAGAGTTACATAACATGTGACAGCCCAGCGCAGTCAAAATGTAAGGTGTGTGTGTGTGTGTGTGTGTGTGTGTGTGTGTGTGTGTGTGTGTGTGTGTGTGTGTGTGTGTGTGTGTGTGTGTGTGTGTGTGTGTGTGTGTGTGTGTGTGTGTGTGTGTGTGTGTGTGTGTGTTACTGGTTTATCTCTCAGACTGGAGAAGATGAGTGATGTAAAAGAAGAGGAAGAGGACAAATCTTCAGTCTCCAGCGGTCTGTCTCTGAAGAGTGACCGGTCTATGGAGAGACCTCCACTCTTCAGTAATGAACCTGGACCCTCAGACACAAAGTAAGAGTCTCCACTGTAAACTGACCTGAAGAGGATCCAGTTTGTTGGTATCTGATCATCTAAACTGTTTAATGAAACCCAGTAGAGAACATTAACAAAGTTGAATTGATCTCTTGCTTCTTGTCATCATCAGAGATAGTAAATAATCTACTAGTGAAATCATCCTCACACTCTACATGTTGGACTTTGTGTTAAATTAAGCAAATAAAATGCAAATATGTAAAACGTTTCACACTCGAATTAATTTGAACAACAGAAACCCACAATCACGACTCAACAACTCTAAAGATCTTTCATAAGGTGAACAGTCATAGATCAAAAGCTGCTCTTTAAATGAACTAATGATGTTTAAACATGTGTTGTTTCCACAGACAGAGAGCAGGGTCTACGGTCTCCATGTGGTCTCTGATGAGTGACTGGTCTATAGGGGAACCTCCATACTTCAGTAATGAACCTGGACCCTCAGACACAAAGTAAGAGTCTCTCCTGTAAACTGACCTGAAGAGGATCCAGTTTTGATGTAATCTAATATATCAAACTGTTCTTTAATGATATCATGTGAGCAGTTTGTGAAGGGAAAACGCAGCAGAGTAAGCTAACATTATCTAAGGATATTTCAATATGCAATTATATTATCATTGTATCTGTGTATACAATGGTTTTAAATAGCAACAATATTGATAAATACTGATTTAAAAACGATACATGTATATATTGTCCAAAACATTATTTAACTACTTGGGCATATCTATGATATGTCTTTTTAAGATGTGTATTCATAATAGTGATAACCTGGTGAGCTGGTTGTGTTTAGCATTAGCAGATAAAACAGTGTTTTGTGAAATCACATGTAGAGTCAATACGAAGACCCAGATCCCAGAGATAATGTTAGCCTAGCTTTAATCAAACCCATCTCTTCAGAGAAAAAAAAGGAAAGAAATGTTATGCTCGTTGTGTTGGAGACAGACCTGACAAAGCATTAACTCAGGCTTTTTACACATCAGTATCATTCTGTTTTTATTCAGGCATCCTTTCCATATGTTTATTTATATTAATTCACATCAGATTCTATGCAAGTTGGGTTTATATAGTGTACCAGGTTAATACAGCTGTGTGTGTAGATACAGGGAACATGTGCTCCTCTGGGTGATGAATCCAGACAGGATGCTCTTTGGTTTTATGATCATGTGAATTGTAAGCTATACCTGATCACAAGGGTATATATTATATAGACCTTTTTTTAAATATCAAACTAGAATGTGCCCCCTTGTTGTACCTTTGGTGAGAATCAGCCCCTCTGAAGTAAAGTGCTATAAAGGATGTGTTCCTCTCCACAGAGGGAAGAGGAAGAGTGGTGTTCCTGTGGAGGAGCAGCTGTCCAGCTGTGCTCTGTGTCAGGACGTCCTGAAGGATCCAGTCTCTACCAGCTGTGGACACTGGTTCTGCAGACAGTGCATCACCTCATACTGGGAGCAGCGCCCTCCATCAGGAGACCCCTGCTGTCCCCAGTGTGGAGAAAGATCCAGAACCAGAGCTGGCCTGCAGACAGCCAGTCAGACCAGCTCTGTACGAGGTAAGAGGCCGAACTCATGCAGCGTCTTATTCCTCTTCCTGGTTCATTTTTTTTTTTATTAGGTATTCTGTTGAAGAACATAGACATTAAAATGTTTATAAAACATTTAAACTCAGTCTGTTTTTATTAGTTTTATTGTTATATTCTCAAAAGCATTTTCTGATTCTCTCCTGTTTCCTTCTCTTCCAGCAGAGAGTGGTCTGCAGGAGGTTTTAGATGAACATAGGCTCAGTCTGAGGAGGAGATGTGAACGTGTGACTGAAGGAACTGATGAAAGTGAAACCCTCCTCAACAGCATCTTCACTGAGCTCTACATCACACAAGGCCTCAGTGAAGAGGTTAATACCCAACATGAGGTGAGGCAGCTGGAGACAGCTTCCAAGAAAGAGACCCTCCATGACACTCCAATCAAGTGCCAGGACATCTTTAAAGCCTTACCTGACCAACAGACTCTCATCAGAGCGGTCCTGACCAACGGAGTCGCTGGAGTTGGAAAAACCTTCTCAGTGCAGAAGTTCACTCTGGACTGGGCCGAGGGTTTGGGAAACCAAGATGTCAGTCTGGTGATCCTGCTCTCCTTCAGGGAGCTGAACCTGATCAAAGGTGAGCAGTACAGTCTTCTCAGGCTGCTCCATGTTTTCCATCCGACCTTACAGAAGGTCACAGCAGAGCAGCTGGCTGTCTGCAAAGTGCTGCTCATCTTTGACGGCCTGGATGAAAGCAGACTTTCTCTGGACTTCAGAAACAATGAGGTTGTGTCTGATGTCTCTCAGCAGTCCTCAGTCAACGTGCTGCTGACAAACCTCATCAGGGGGAAGCTGCTTCCCTCGGCTCTTGTCTGGATAACTTCCAGACCTGCAGCGGCCAATCAGATCCCTCCTGAGTGTGTGGACAGGGTAACAGAAGTACGAGGCTTCACTGACGCCCAGAAGGAGGAGTACTTCAGGAGGAGATTGAGTGATGAAGACCTGTCCAGCAGAATCATCTCTCACATCAAGAGCTCCAGGAGCCTCCACATCATGTGTCTGATCCCAGTCTTCTGCTGGATCACTGCTGAAGTTCTGGACCACATGTTGACTACAGACCAGAGAGGAGAGCTGCCAAAGACCCTCACTGACATGTACTCACACTTCCTGCTGGTCCAGACCAAGAGGAAGAAGCAGAAGTATGAAGAGGGACATGAGACGAGTCCACAGCAGCTGACGGAGGCTGACAGGGAGCTTCTTCTGAAGCTGGGGAGGCTGGCGTTTGAACATCTGGAGAAAGGAGACATCATGTTCTACCAAGAAGACCTGCAGCGCTGTGGTCTTGGTGTCACCGAGGCCTTGGTGCACTCAGGAGTTTGTACAGAGATCTTCAAAAGAGAGAGAGTGATCTTCCAGAAAACAGTCTACTGCTTTGTTCATCTGAGCATTCAGGAGTTTCTGGCTGCAGTCTACATGTTGCACTGTTACACCAACAGGAACACAGAGGTACTGAAGGACTTCCTGAAGAAAGACCGGGACTATATGAACAGATATAACAGTGATCAGGATTACCCAGCCCTGCCTGTCTTCCTAAAGGGAGCCATGGAGAAATCCCTCAGAAGTGAAAATGGCCACCTGGACCTGTTTGTCCGCTTTCTCCACGGCCTCTCTCTGGAGTCCAACCAGAGACTGTTAGGAGGCCTGCTGGGTCGCACAGACAACCGTCCAGAAATCATCAAGAGACTCTTAGGAGGCCTGCTGGGTCGCACAGACAACCGTCCAGAAATCATCAAGAGACTCTTAGGAGGCCTGCTGGGTCGCACAGACATCCAGAGAGCCATCAGCAACCTGAAGGAGATGAACAGTAATAAAATCTCTCCTGACAGGATGATCAACATCTTCCACTGTCTGACAGAGATGAAGGACCACTCAGTACATCAGGAGATCACAGAGTTCCTGAAGTCAGAGAACAGATCAGAGAAGTATCTCTCTGTGATCCACTGCTCTGCTCTGGCCTACATGCTGCAGATGTCAGAAGAGGTTCTGGATGAGTTGGACCTGAACAAGTACAAAACATCAGAGGAGGGGAAACAGAGACTGATTCCAGCTGTGAGGAACTGCAGGAAGGCCAAGTAAGTCCAGATGTGATTAACTTTATAAACTAATGTGGATCAGGAGTTTAATTATTCAAATAAACACTATAACATTTCTGCTGTTTAAATACTGAGAGCAAAATAAACCAACACTGTTCTTCTATTTATTTATAATAATAGTTAAACTGAAGCGTTCCTCTCTTCATATTGAGTGATGGAGGCGACATGTCAAACACATGAAGGACTCTAGAGGTTTCTCAGCATGTGATCACACCACACAGCAGGACTTACAGTTATCAGTTATTATTACTTTCTAGTAGTTCCTTTATCATTAAACACACACACGTTGTTATCACAATGTATTAGAGTTTAAAATAAGATCTATATCATATCCCACCAATACCAGAGTTATGTCTTAATACTCATATAGTGAGAACATCTGATGATATTCAGGTTAAAATATTGAAACTTTATTGGTTTGTTAACTGTGTTTGTGTGCACAATACATTTCCAGATTCTCAGAGAAACCAAAACATCCATCATTCACATCTCAATATTAATTAACATTTAAATATGTACATCTCTAATATTGTCAAGTGATTTATTTAATTTCTGTTTCTATGGTAACAGTCAGTGACAGCAGGAGCACAGACCTGTGATCAGATCACACTGACAACACATTACACTCTATTATCATATATTATTAAATATAAAATGGACTAACAGCGAATCTCCATCAGAACATTTGTCAAATATGTTTTTCATCAAATGCTTGAGGTCATTATGTTTCCTCTTTTTTTAACACATGTTGTAATTTATGTGTTATTATAGACTTGCTGGCTGTAGACTCTCAGAGACTCACTGTGAAGTCGTGGCCTCAGCTCTGAAGTCTGACCCCTCTCATCTGAGAGATCTGGACCTGAGTGAGAACACTCTGAAGGGTTCAGGAGTGGAGCTGCTGAGTTCTGGACTAAAGAGCCCAAACTGCAGACTGGAGACTCTCAGGTCAGTTTACTGACTGAACTTCATCTGTTTGTGTTTATCATTTTCTGAATTTGAAAAAAATACATTAACGTTTTTTTTCCACTTTTGCTAATGACTGAATATTGATCAGAGTAACAAAGAGAAGGTGAATGTGTGAGGGAGAGAGTTTGAGCTTCCTCAGACTCACTCTGTGCTCCATGAGTCAGTGGAGATGCTGTCCGTACTGATGAACTGTGAGGGAGATGAAGGAGTTGTTAAACATCTGATCAAAGTTAAAGTCCCAGATTATCAATGGATTGTTTCTACATCATCTCTGAGATTAAAGGTCTCCTATCATGCAAAAGTCACTTTCTGATGTCTTTTCTACATCACCATGTGTCCCCGGTGTGTCCCTATGTGTCCCCGGTGTGTCCCTATGTGTCCCCGGTGTGTCCCTATGTGTCCCCGGTGTGTCCCTATGTGTCCCCGGTGTGTCAGGAGACTCACAAAGTGTCAGGAAACAAAACCCTCTCTCTTTTCCTCCGTACCCACATCTCTAAAAACGAGGGAACAACGGAGCTGATCCAGATTTGCTGCGTCATGACGGCATTACTAAATTGTGGGCGGGCTTTACACCAACGGGCCAATCAGAAACGTTGCTGTCAGAAACAATGAGACGTGTTCTGGAAGTAATATGGTCTGTGTTTACATTAGCATGCTAACACTCAGAGCTAACCTGTACTGGAGAGCATGTGTGAAGAAGCAGGAAATAAGAAGGAACTCACCTTGTGGTAAACCTGAGAGAGAAAGAGTTTGAGCTCCATGCTGTTTCAGAGATAATCCTTGATGTGGTTTGGAACATGATATGGAGTTTCATCATGGCAGCATTTAGCTGAGTTTCTGCTGGTAGAATTCTGATCAGGCATTAGCTCCACCTCCTTTTTCTTTTTTTCAAGCTAAGGACCCGAACCTGCTCTTCTCTAACAGCTGAAACAGAGGGATGTGTGGGATTTCTAAAATGCATGATCTGTTTGGTATTTTGAGCAAAACACATCATCGACATGTTTTTATATATTTGTGTATATCTGAGACCCATAATATATGGCTAAAAATAGCATGATAGGAGACCTTTAAAACCCTGTTTAACTCTGAACAGATTATTAAACCTGGAGTTATTTCAAACAGGAACTTTGTTTTCTAAAGTTACATCATGTTTTCTTTATTCAGACTGAGGGCCTGCGGGTTGTCAGAGATCAGCTGTTCTGCTCTGGCCTCAGCTCTGAAGTCCAACACCCATCTGAGATATCTGGACCTGAGTGAGAACGATCTGCAGGGTTCAGGAGTGGAGCTGCTGAGAGATCTTCTGGAGAGTCCAGACTGCAGACTGGAGGCTCTCAGGTCAGTTCACTGACTCTCTGTTACTGCTGGAGATCTCATGTTTCATTAGTTATTCAACCTGATTCTTCTACATAATTAACTTACATCTATTAAGTTGTAAATGTTCTTTTATTCATACTTTCATTTGTAGGTACTAAAGTAAGAACTGCAGAGATAAATGTTGACTGATTCTTAAAGGAACTGTAATAGATGTTAGTTGTGAAAATTAAATCTATGTTTTTAATATTTAGTAAACGATAACGTCTGAATAAAGTTCATCTGAAGTAATATTAGTTTTACAGGATAAAGTTGACTTTCTGAAGAAAACATGTTTTTGTTCCCATTCATTTCAATGTTGAATAACACATCTGATTATAAACTGATTTGTATCCTCATCATGTTTTCTTTATTCAGACTGATGAGATGCAGTTTGTCAGAGATCAGCTGTTCTGCTCTGGCCTCAGCTCTGAAGTCCAACATCCATCTGAAACATCTGAACCTGAGTCTCAACGATCTGAAGGATTCAGAGAAGCTGCTGAGAGATCTTCTGAAGAGTCCAGACTGCAGACTGGAGACTCTCAAGTCAGTAAGGGGTCTCTGCTGGTTCAGCAGTATTGTATGAACCACAGGGAGGTGTTTCTCTCACTGGGGAAACAGATCAGTGATGTTACCCACTGACTGCAGGCTCTTTCATTCTTCCATCAACTACAGAAGGCCAGCTGAACATGCAAAGCCACACTTTAGTAATCAACTCTCTAACAGACATATGGGGTTTTACAGAAGAGTGGGAAAGGTAGTCTGTTTTTATGGGATGTTTTTAGTTTCTGCCAGGGGTGTCCAAACTGACAGAATACAGTAAACCCTCTGGAGAGCTGAGAGCTGTTTTGTTTCTTAAAGCATCCTCAAGTAACAAGCATCCTTTACCTTCATCTGATTGAGTTTTCTGACTTATAACTGAACTTATGAGGCAACATACCTCTAGAGAGCGGCCCAGACCTTTATATATTTTTCTGTATGTGGCCCTCGGTGAAAAAGGTTTGGACCCCCCTGTTCTAGACCAATGAGTGGTTACTTCCTGTCATGCAGCTGAGAGCTGTGGCAGGCAGTCGTAGTGTTTGCAGAGAAGATATGATGGGATGTAAAGCATGAGATCAGGACTCTGAAGCTGACTCAAAGAACTAACACTTATTTTAAACTGGATCTTAAACTGTTGGATTGTGTTCATCTCTACAGGATCAGATGAGAGCCGATCAGAGCCACGATCCAGAAGACCTGTGAGTACTGAAACCATATCCTCCATTCATCAAGATATGAAACTCTTTAATGGAGCGTGACCTCAGAGGAAAACAACACTCTTCTTTCTCTCTTCATCATTCTGGCTGTTTCTCTTTGTTTAATTATCATCATTATTCTCTCTCTCTCTCCTTCTCCTCTCAGGTGACAGGAAGTGAAGACACACAGAAAGGTGAGAGGTCGTACCGTGTGAAGTTTATTTATTGAGGTTTCAACACGTTTTTCTGGTGTTCCAGACAAATCTGTAAGCTCAGGTTTTCTTTGTTCTCAGTTTATTCATCACGGGGCGAGTTTGAGACGTGAAGAGGAGCGTGGAGGCATTTTGGAAAATAAAGAAGAAGGCTGCAGCTGATGAGAGACTTCCTGTTGGCTCTCCTCAATATGAAATGAACAAAAACAATCAATTGTACTTAAAGCTTTTCTTAAGAAGAAAGATGTGTTGCACATACACCTGCTGCTACCTACCACCACCTCCCACCCATCCCGGCACCAAAGAGGAGACTCCATCGACCCCAGATACCCCAACTCACTCTTCTTCAGGTTAGCTTGGAGCCCCGCCTTTACCTGCCCCATCACCTCACTTTGAACGATGTAGTCATCCGGATATCTGCGTACTGAGAGTGGGACGCAGGACCCGGTCAATGAGGTGCTGGAAGGGGGTCCACTGGACTGGAGGGGCGCTTGGATCTGGTGATGCCTGGCTCTTTCTGAAAGGGCAGGACACCTATCTGCCATAGTTTCTCCACCTGACGACTGAGTTCGGCATCGGGGGTTCCAGTTGGGGTGAAGAGACTCTGGGGGGCATCCGATGGCTCCTGAATAGGGGGGGCCCTTGGAGTGTCCAACCTAATGATAATAATAAGAATAATAATAATGCATTTTATTTGTAAAGCACCTTTCATTGCTAAAAGTAATCTCAAAGTGCTACAAGGGGCATCATATACTTATTTTATTTTTTTAAAGAAACACAAGTTTAATAAAAGGCTTTAAAAAAAGAAATGTTTTTAGGCCCTTCTTAAAGGAGACGGATCACGTTTTGTTCAGCCGGATAATATCCACATGTCTACCCTACTTTTATAATGTTCTAATCATAAATCTAATCGATAGATTTATGATCGATAGATTTATGATCGATACATTTATGATTCGAAAATTATAAGAGATGTGGAGATTATCCGGCTGAACAAAACGTGATCCGTCTCTTAAATGTGTCTCAACCACAGACCTTATTTCCAGCTATTTTCCAAAATCCTATGGAGAAATTGCATTGCGTTTTTGTCGAAGGAACCGGAAGAAGTTTACTTCCGGGTTTTAGGACGCGTCACTGCGGTTCTCTATATGGGATGCCCAGTCTACTTACAGATGGGTCACTCATTTTGAAATATTACACTTTGTTTTATTTTTCTTTAATTTATCATCCTCATGTAGAATGCTATCACGAAACACACATTTGGTTGTTTATAGCATAAAGAACATCTGATTTAATGTGAGGTAGGGAAATAATCATTTGAGGATAAGTATGTGTATATAAATATGTCATTTACAACAGCTGTAAGATGCTTGATAAGCTTGAAATGCACCTTGAAAATGCTTGAAAAGTGCTTGAATTTGACTTTGGAAAAGGTGTAAGAACCTTGATAGTGGTAACATCAATATGGACACCTGTAGGAAACGAGACCATGGACAACTAAGGAGACATATGCAAAGAAGGGTTACAGGGAAATAATCGGAGGTGGATGATCGTCCTTTACCTAGGTCGACCAATGAGAAACAAGGATACTTCTGCTATTTAAAGGCTAATAGTGCCACAGTGACGCGTCCTAAAACCCGGAAGTAAGCTGCGCATGGGTTCCTTCGACAAAAAACATGTCTACCCTACTTTTATCATTTTCTAATCGTAAATCTAATCGATAGATTTATGATTCGAAAATTATAAAAGTAGGGTAGACATGTGGATATTATCCGACTGAACAAAACGTGACCCGTCTCTTGAATGTGTCTCAACCACAGACCTTATTTCCAGCTATTTTCCAAAATCCTATGGAGAAATTGCATTGCTTTTTTGTCGAAGGAACCCATGTGCAGCTTACTTCCGGGTTTTAGGACGCGTCACTGTGGCACTCTATACAACCTTCGTCAAACAGTATGATCACAGGGTCTGCTTGGACTTTGACGTAATAAAGTTATTTTGCATCTTTCATGTCTGACTCCACCGACTTCTTCTGAATCTGTTAGAATTTTCTGTGTGTGTGTTGGTAACAAAACTGAGGCAACGTGACAAATAAGTAGCAATCATTTATTTAATTTCCAGTGGAAATAAGGTAGAATAACGTTTTGTTTTTTCACTGATTCATGACAGTGTTTTTAAAAAACAAAGCAGATCAAGTCTAAAAATATGTAATTACAAAACACAAGAAAGACCCAGCTTACCCTCCTTCTAAGACGTTGCTGCATGACTGTCAGAAATCCACAGTAAGAGGACAGAAAGATAGCAAAAACGAGACTCCCCAAACTCGAGTCAGCAATAGAAAAATAAAGCTTTCTCTTGCCTAAAGGTTGCTGTTTGCTTCATCACCAAACGTGGCAGGCTGACTAAAGCAAAGCACAAAACCAGTGAACATAAACTCTACTTGCAGTAATAAGAGATTATAGATTAAATATGGCTTCTCAGTTACAGACACAGTAACACACAAAATATACACAGACAACATGTTATGGAGACACAAACTACCTGCCTAAAAGGTTCATGAAACTGCAGTGCTGCTCCAGGATCAGTGTCCCAAAGAAAAGTGAGGACTTGTGCTCCTCGATCAGCACTTTGATGATTTACAATGGACATTTTTTGTAAATAGGGGCGTCTGCTTAAATGTAAACTCCTTCATTTAAAGGGGACATATCATGCCCATTTTCAGGTTCATACATGTATAAGGGGTTTCTACTAGAACATGTTCACATGCTTCAATGTTAAAAAAACACATTATTTTCCTCATATCGGCTTCTTTAATAAACATGTTTTACCCTCTGTCTCAAATGTGCCGTTTTAGCGCATGTCTCTTTAAAGGCCCGGACACACCAAGCTGACACCAAAGAACTGACACAGACGGACCCCCGACTGTTGTGTCGCCTCACGTCTCCTGCGTCTTGGCCAACAGTCGCACTGGAACACACCGCAAAGACTTCAGCCGACGGCCAAGAAGCACGTACGAACTGTGCATGCGTGAGTGGCAATAACTCTCCTTACCAGCAGGCGGCGGTAGTGTGTATTCGTCATTCAAAAGAGGCAACAACCGGAAGACAGACTGCGTGATAACCGAGAGAAGAAGAACAGACTGCGTGATATGAACAAACAACAAATAGCGTGTGCGTTCCATTTTCACTCTACAGCGAGAAGCTCATGGGGCTTTCTCGAACCTGTGTCAAGAGCTGGAGTTAAATTAAATCTCAGATTTGCCTTCTTAATAGTTTGTTTGGGTCCCTCACTTCCGTTTCGCTTCTCAGGCACTGATTCGCTAAGCTGAACAGCCAATCAGAGTGATTTATTTTGCCGACAGCCTTTGGCCGACTGCCCACCGATTCGACATGTTGAATCGGTGGGTTTTCGGCCGAAAAGGTGTCGGCACGGCTGAAAAGACACGACGGTGCGGGACACACCAATCTGAGTAGGGCGTGTCAACGCTCATCGTCGGCCTGACGCCCACCGATGGCTAAAATCAGCTTGGTGTGTCCGGGCCTTAAGACCATCTCCAGGAAAAGCCTAGTTTGTTCTGATTGGCTAGTGCAACAATTGCAAAGGTTGTCCTGAAATTGTGGGTTGAGGTACTCAGATTGGGGAGGTATATTTGAATGAATCTCCATGTGATATAGGAAGTATAGCAACATCTGAATGTCATGTTTTATAAGCGCAGCTATCCACAAAATAACATTCTGGTTGTCTTATTTCACTGTTTGTAGAGGTGTAGGCACTCTGCACAAGAACTGAACAAGTGAGTTTACCCTTGATATGTCCCCTTTAAGTTCTACTCCTTTTCTCGCTTTGAGGTTATAAACTACACCGTGAGTGAAGGTGATCTTTAAATACTGGCAAGCTGTGGAGTTTGGAGACCCTAGCCCTAAGGAGGTGCTGTGACATGCTGGATGGGAACAGTAGGTTCAGGTTAAGGCTCAGCTGTGCAGCTCATTATTTCTGTCCTTCATGGTGCAACATCTGGGGGTTTGTCTCGCAGGGAGTCCAGTGGGCTGTGTGCATGTTGTTGTTTAACCAAACCTGTTATTCTTCCTGCAGTAGGGTGACCAGATGATAATGGGTGTAATTCGGGGAACAGGGGAGTTGGGAATGCCCTCCAGAACATGACATTTAGTGTCAAGGAACACAAGTATTAATCATAGTATATTCATTTCCTGCAGACGTTGCAAAGACTTTGTTTGGATCATGTAAGGCATCAATGATCTCTGGGTATTTTCCTCCTAAAACTGTATAGTACCTTCAGTTTTTGCTCAAACTATTTCGCTTTTGGGCTCAATGTTAACTTGCTCCTGAGGCACCATGTCAGTGAAGGAAGTTTAATTTCCACCGAAGATTTTCAATTAAACGTCAGATCTACTGTGCAAGGCTATACGAAACTACGAAAGCCATAATTCATGTGTGAGGGGAAACACCCAAACAAATCCCCAAAGTGTAAGAAGTAACTTAGTAAATGTACTCAAGTACTTAAGTACAATTTGGAGGTCTATTTACTTACATAAGTATTTCCACTTTATGCTAGTTCATACAGTACTTCTACTACACTACAATTTGGAAGCGTATAATGTACTTTTCACTACATGTTGAATAATGAACCCTTCTGGTTTTGGTACTTTAAGTATAAATTGATGCTAATTCAAAAAAAGGAATTCAGGAGTTTTACTTAACAGAGTATTTCTTTACTGTCGTATTAGTACTTCTTACATCAGTTGTTTCAAAGTATTCAATGTTGTATTCGGCTATAGCAAAACACACCTCGATTTAATCTAAGTTTTGGGGTGAATAGGACAGGATACATGAGAACTCTTCATCATTTGGGACTGTCCCGAATCTTCCCGGATGTCTGGTCACCCTATGCTGCAGATTCATCATTCATCATTTTAAAACTGTACACCAGGACACAGTAAACCCCTCCTTAGAGTGCATTCACAACATTATGCATTATCCATTCCCAGATCTAAATCGCTCTCTAAGATTCAGTGAAATGTATTCCTCATTAAACCAGTGCATAACCAAACTGGCCCCTGTCCATCCCCTCCTTGTGGTCGGTCCAGGACGATGAAGGCATGCGGCTGTAGGGGTCCAGCAGGATCCTGAAGCACCGGACCAGCAGGAAGACCAGGAAGAGGACGAGGAGGCCGACGAAGGCCAGGGCGGTGCGCTGCTCATTGTCCACGCCACCCAGGGAGAGGGGGGGGCTGCTGCTACCCCCCCCAGCACTGCCAGGGAGGGAGGAGCTGGCCGGGGACAGCAGGAACTCGTAGTCAAGTGTGGGAACATCGTTCATCGTCCACGGGGCCCGAAGGCACGGCTTACACACTGACTTGAGGATGGGCGTGTTGGGAGGAGGGGCGGAGAAGGAAGGGAAGGGAAGGTGTTCATCGGGGGTGGTGAGGAAGGAAAATCAACTGGAGACTTTTAAAGACGTCTTATAAGAAGTTTGTATTGTGTTTTTTCTTGGGTGAAGGGCCTAGATAAAAGGTTTGCTCGGTAGTAAATAAGAAGTAAGAATGCAAACGATATCTTCAAGGTTAGATAGTGTTGTGTTTATATCTAAAAATGTGTGTATCCTGTCCTCTTGCACACACATCTTCCTCCAAATGTATTTTCAAATCTAGGTCAGTCAAAGTGACGTGACCCAGAAAGGGCTGTCACTATCTGCTGTCAATGTGACACATGCACACTTTTTAATTAACGTGGACTACTTTTCAGCACCACATGTTTTTTAGGAAGTGACTAAACAGTGTAATGATGGCTTTACTTAGCGGAGTAACCGTCCCTGAGGCGGTGTGAGGTTTTTAATGTGTTTATCAGGGTGTCACAATAGCTTTCATTCTCAATCAGAGACGTGACTCTTCTTTCAGACAATGCAAACAACACGTGTCAGATCGCATTCAAGGCCAGTGTCCTCTATGTGATTTATGTGGAGATTGGGTATAGCTGTTTAAACAAGAGGCCAGAAACACCAGGTGTGTGTCAGTGTACGTGCATGTGTTTTTTTCTAATTAGAGCCAGAGGTCAGCGACGTTTTCCCATGATAAGTGCTTCAAATGTGGGTCAAAGCTATCAAAAGGCATTCAAAGAACTCGAAAAAAATGCTTCTTTTGACAGGAAAAGCAACAAGAGGTAGAAAAATGATTCGTCTGAGAAGGTGAGCTCCTCAAAGTGTCAGTTGTGAATTTAAAAGCTTCTTAATCCAGCTTGTTCTTCAGTGTTTTTGAATTCTGATTCTGTTCATGAGGCTCTTCAGCAGGCATGACTTGTTACCAGACGTTCTGTCATCAGATGTTCCCGGTTGCAGCTCCTATGAGAAGCACCTGAAAGAATAAAAGACATCTGGTTAGAAAAGCTTCAAGATAATTGTCCACAAATGTCACTAATGAGGACATTTCAATCGCCCCGATCCGAAAAATCCCTTCAAATGAAACTACAGGTGAGGGACCCACAGTCATTTTGGGCCTGCAAATGGCCTCTTTAAATGTTGTTGTATGGTTTTGTTTGGTATGGTTTTTATATATACTGTAGTTTCATATGTTCTGATATATGTTCATGTGCAATGCCACATTTAATACAGGCACAGAGGGCAGCTCAGGCGTCCTTTAGGTGAAAGGCAGAAGAGGTAAAAGCATTATTTATTAGAGTTTGTGTATTTCCGAAACAAAGTAAAATATTTTTATTTTAAAGGTGCCCTTAGTCAGTCAAAAATATTTGTATTTTGTGCCAGTCTGCTCTGATTGGTTAGCTGGCCGGCTTTGCTGTGATTGGTCAACCGCTTAGAGAAGTCCCACCCTTAGCCAATCACGTACAATGTGTTGATGCGCTAGCCAATAGAAGTGTGAATATTACATAGTGATGTCACTATGTTCAGGAAGTAAACAAAGGAGTCCGATGGAGGCGTTTCAGGCGGGGGGGGGGGGGGGGGGGGAGTGTGTGGGAAAGAAACACAGGGATTTTAGCCTTTGCAGACCATTTACATGCACTAAAACATATAGAAAACACCACAGGAAAGGGAAGTTTGATAGGGCCCCTTTAAACGTATGTACACCTGGAAGTCCCTTTTGTTTCCAGGTGCAACACATGCATGACACAAGCTTTCCTTGATTGTTCCTAATGGGGACCAGCAGGAGAGGATTAAGTAATGCCTTCCTCATGTCATCATAGGATGTGATGATTAGCACCCTTTGCTCTATAACTAACAGTGACATAAGCCATCTGTGGGGGGGGGGCAACAGAACGAGCTTCCCCTGTAATGACTCAATTAGTCAGCTGATTATCGTGCCATTACGGCCCCATTAGCAGTAATGAATGCACGATTATAAACACTGATACCGCATTACATCACCCCCCATTTGTCAGTGTACTGTTACAAAGGGCCGTTTGTTCATGTGTTGACCCCCCGTCATTCACATGATGGAGGGAAAGACAAAGTGTTGAAGAGCCTCATTAATAATCCAAAATCCTGTCTCCCCTGGCGGACCGGGTTTCAAATCCTGGAGGAAAGGAAATACGCAAACTATTTTCACCATGTCTGAATAGAGTGACTGTTTGCTTTGTGACACCAGAGAGGGGGGTGAGTGTGTGTGTGTGTGTGGGGGGGGGGGGGGGGGGGGTTTAAGAGAGACAAAGGCAAAAGGACAAAGTTGGTTGGAAACAGGAAGGGATGATAATTGAAAGTGAATTAAATGATGTGTATGAAGGGGAAATGGTCAGAGGTGCAGATAGGTTGGATTAGATTTGAATTTTTAATCAGTTTACAGTGAGCTGGTTATTATTGGACAAGACGAGGAACTCAATGTATCTCAATGAGGGATGATCAATATAGATTTTCTTCTCTAATACCGATACTACCCCTCATGACCCATAAGATATCAGATAACTTCACATTTGAGTTTATGTAGAATTGAAAGGCTAAATTGCGAAGTGAAAAATAATTGATGGATTTATTTTGCCATAGGTCTGACCTTACCAATAGTACATGACATCTATCATATCATAATGTTTTCAACAATACCACTTAAAGGTCACCTATCATGCTATTTTTAGGCAATAGCATAGGTCTCAGATATATAAAAATATATAAAAAACATGTCTATGAAGTGTTTTGCTCAAAATACCAAACAGATCACCCATTCTAGCCATGCCTCATATCCCTCTATTTCACTTCCTGTTTCAAAAGTGCTGATTTTATGTATAAAGCTTTAAAAAAAATTGATAACAAATAAAAAAGGAGGGGGCTGAGCTCATGCGGGACCCGGCAGCTACTGTCTAAACTAAATACTGCCGTGATGAAACGCCATATCATGGATTATCAAGGATTCTTTCTGAAACAGTATGGAGCTCAAAGGCTTTCTCTCTTGCCGGTTATACCACAAGGTGAGTTCCTTTTTATTTCCTGCTTCTTCACACACATGCTCTCCAGTACAGGTTAGCTCTGAGTGTTAGCGATGCTAATGTAAACACCGACCATATTACGTCCAAAACAGTCGGGCATTGTTTCTGATAGCAACTTTCTGATAGGGCCGTGGGTCCACATTTCCGATATTACATCATATCGGACGCAAATCTGGATCAGCTCCGTTGTATCCCCGTTTTTAGAGATTTGGGTACGGAGGAAAAGAGAGAGGGTTTTATTTTCTGACGCTGCGTGAGTTCCCTGACACACCGGGGACACATATTTATGTATAAAAGACATCAGAAAGTGCACTTTGCATGATAGGTCCCCTTTAACACTTCTGGCTCTACAGATGTCAATTCGTTTTTTAATAGACAAGTCAATCTGAAAACTAGCAGTAGTGTTGTCTTCCTCTGAAACTGAGAAAAATGTCCACATCGTTGGCAACGTGTCTGTTTAGTAACCAGTTGTTCTTCTTTTTATCCTATTCTTCCTCCTACTCCTTCTTCTCCTTCTTCTTCCTCTTCTTCATCCACCCTTCATCCCCATACTACTTCCTCTTCCTTTCCACCTACTCATACTTTTACTTTCTCTTCTTTTACTTCTCCATCTACTCTTCCTCCGTCTTCTTCTTTTCCTCCTTCTTGTTCTTCTTCTCCAAAAATGTATCAACTATAACCGTCATGATACATAATAGTTTAGTTTTGATACACCATAATCAGCCTAATATGTATAGATCATATACTGTATATATTATGCATCTCTGATTGTGATAACAAATATGAGAAAAGGGGAAATGAGAAGCAGCGTATGGAGATTGAATGGCGGTGCAGATGGATGAGAAGAGCAGAGGTTACTGTGGTGAGCGGGCAGCAGTACAGAGGAGAGAGGAGAGGTTATCTGGCACTAAATACACAGTCTGCTCAGCGTGACCACAAAACATCTTTTCATCTCTTCCTCCATCTCTCTTTCTCTTCCTCCATCTCTGCCTTTCTTTCTTTCTGCTGTGTCGTCCTGCTGCCAGCCTGAGTGTGTGCACCAAAAACCCTGGAGACTCTCATACCGAGTGTGCACCTGTGTCTGTGTGTGTGTGTGTGTGTGTGTGTGTGTGTGTGTGTGTGTGTGTGTGTGTGTGTGTGTGTGTGTGTGTGTGTCAGCTTTTCGCTTCCTCTGACTGATGTGCGTTGCCCAAAAATAGGTCAGAAACCTTGTGACTGTGGTGAAGGACATCAGGACGACGGACACTGTGACACATCTGCAGCTCATATCAGAAATCCTTCCAACTGTTAGCAGCTGCTGTGAGACTTTTATACTGACAGCTTCAAAACCACACCTATGTTCGTATTGCACAGTTTAAGGTTTACTAGGCAAATGTTGTTGTTGTTGTTGATGTTTAGCAGCTTATCCCCACTATTAATTTGAGTTTTTTGCTTTAGCTTCCTGTAACTTCTCAGTGCATCATTGTTAAATGTTCCTACTAACACAAGCAAAACATTTGCTTACATAAACACAATGCATTGAATCACGTTGCTGTATTTCATCAACCAATACAAATGATCAATGATCTGAATGTTCTATGTTTTCTTGAGTGGAGTTGCACTTTTTCTACAGTTTTAAATACAAAATCATATACTCGTTTCTGAGAGACAACGAAAATGGTGTCAAAAGAAATGGCTCAACAAAGTGTGTGTAGTGTAGGTGAACCATGGTCGTCTAGGGCTTTTATAATGAGCAAAGTTATCATCTGGATCAGATCATAAATAACAATCTGATGATAGATATTTTACTTTACTGTTTTTGATAAGAATACTCAGTCAGGGTTAATACAAAATCCTGCAGAACAGATGGTTAATGCACAGGAAGAACACTATAGTGCAACATATAAACACACACACACACACACACACACACACACACACAAACTCTTGAAATTCAAGTGGGCAAAAGAAATGAACATTGCTGGTGACACTCCTCACCACATTGGGTTGATTTCCATTGTGAATGTTGAATGA